TTTGTGTGGAAATGGGAGAGTCTGGACACTTTAAATAAAATGGACAAAATATTTATTTTCTACAGCACAAAAACACTGAAAACTGAGCATGTACCCACGTGCAACGACGGACAGTCTTCACAGCAGGTTGTACGACCGTTAGTCTTAAGTTTTCTTTATGATAAGATGGATTACCTCTACACTGAACGATGAATGAACTCGGAAGGTCTTCTAACTCAGTGTTGAACACTTGTGTTTCTTTCACCAAAAACAAATAATACTGAACGTGAAATATATGGGTGATCTTAAAAGTATTCAAGGCTTCATTTTCAATATTTTAACAACAGAAATGATTATTCTAACCAAATTGTTATAATTACGATAAAACAATGTAGCTACCCTTTATTAATCTTTATTATCACCCATCTTTCGAATTTAATATTTTTATAAGTGTAGTTAAAATTAATTAATTGTAAAATTAAAACAATTTTACTTGAAATTTGAGAAAAGTCTCAGTTTCTCATTTCACCAAAAATTTAAATATGGTTACTTAAAAACATACAGTTTGCATTGCCCGTTTTGACTTAAGAAAGTAATATGGAAGAACATTTATAACTTCGACGTTGTTAAAACATGGTGGTCATTACAAAGAATAACGTTGGTTTTAACAGACACAGATTGTAACTCACATGTTGCTAAACCTACATGTTTACCATTACACAAAGTAATAATAGTAAGCTTAAGATGCAGTTTGTGAATCTTTTAGTGAAAATATAGGTAATGATAAAATATTTAACTCCAACGTTAGGCTTAATAGTGTTGTTAATATGCTACTTGTATTTATTGTTGATTTATTCTTATGCTACAAGGGTTAGGAGTAATGTCAATGTTAAACGCTAACAGTTTGTGAGATGCAATGGGTTTTGTTTAGAAACTCAAAACTGGCATGCACTCTTAACGAAGCTGGAAATGAAGTTGCACAATTTGTATGTAGAGTTTGTAGATTGGAGGAGAAATTGAAGGCTGTCCTTAATAGGGTAGAGGTAATGGATAGTGAGAAGGGTAAACGGCAGCAGGATATAGAGAGAAACTTAAGGTTTTGCATGCTAAGAATACAGTGGATTTAATTATAATGAGCAGATTCTATTAAGCAACATATTCCAGTCTTTATCTGTGCAGATAAAAACTAGGGGAGAAAAGATTAACAAAATAGATGGATAGAGATGGGAATGAAAAAGATAAGTAAGCTATTGTTATATGAGATTCTTTAGTATTACACGTGGATAGGACATTCTGCGGGGTAAATATGAAGAAAAGAATTAGATTATGCTATCCAGCTCAGAGGTGGAGGATATAACTGACAGAGCAAGTGGTATAGTAAAGGGTGCTAGTAGTGATCCAATCTTTGTAGTGTACATAGTGAGTAATGATGTAGGGAAAGGTAGGTCAGAGGAGCTAATTGTTAAGTACAAGGTGTTGATAAAGGCATTCAAAGAAGGACTATAATAACTTAATTTTGTCAGGTGTACTGCTAAGACTTAATTGTGGGGATGAAATTGTAAGTAGGACACTAGGGCTGAATGCTAGGCTTAGATTAATACGTAAAGACAAGCAGGTTGGCTGGCTGGATTTGTGGAACGGGTTCAATGTAAAAGGAAAGCTTTTTGGAAAGGATTGTTTACAGTTAAATAGTATAGAATACGGGCTGGCTTATTTACAGGAGCTATTAACTCAACAGTAAGCGCATATTTTAAACTAGGACTAGACGATGGTTAGAGCCAGGATAATGAAGAAAAAATAAAATGTAGAGAAAATTGTAGTGTACAAAAAAGGTATAAAGATAGTTTTAATGTTATCATTGTAATGGTAGAAGTACAAGAAATAAAATGGATGGTTTAAAGCAATGGTCTGAAGAAAGAATTGTAATATAATGGAAATAACTGAAACCTGGCTGAATGTAGAAATTTTGATGACAAGAATTTTATTGAAATACAGGGTTACAGGTTATTTAATAGGGCAGAGTACTAAAAGTAAAATGTGAGTTACGTCCTGTTTAAGTTGAGGATATCAAAGTTAATAGCAATGAGGTTGAATATATTTGGGTTTCTGTTAGCGGTTAACAGATGAGAAGGCTTTTAGTTGGAATTTATTACAGATTACCAGATGAAAGTGATGAAGTTGAGGAGAAATCCTACACTGAAATAAGTAATTTAACCGTTAATTAATGAGGCTATTGCGGGAAATTTTAATTTCAGGCATACAGATTGTGAAATGTCAAAGTCAAATCATGAGAGAAACAGGTTTTTAGAAACTATTCAGGATGATTTCTTCTTGGTTAGGGAACATACTAGGAATAATGTTACTTTAGATTTATTGCTAACTTTTAATATATCACAGGGCAATGACTGGGGAATATCTGGGTGCAAGTAATCATTGCTCAGTTAGATTTCATTTTTTGCTGCATATGAAGATAAGAAATGATGATATTTTGGTTCCAAATTAAAACAACAACAACAAATTTTGAAGGGATGAGACAAGAATTATCTGCTGTAAATTGGGCAACTGAATTCATTGTAGATAGTGATCAAATGTGGAAAACATTTCAAAGTAAATTTGTGAATATTCAAAATAGGCATGATCCTTATAGAAAAAAAAGGGTGGCTGCAAGTGGAAAACCAGGCCGGACCACAAAGGGCATAATATATAAAATCAAAGAAAAAGAGTTATAAATTTAAGAAGTCTAAATTGACTGCAACGATGTGAGGCTTGGATGATTATAGAAGAAAAATAGAGTTTGTTAAACGGGAAATAAGGAAATCAAAAATCTATATGAAAAAAAGGTTGGCCTGAAAATGGAAAAAATTAATAGTAAATATTTCTTTAAATACATCAAAGGTAAGGAAATGTTAGGATGGGAGTAAGGCCTTTGGATGATGATACAGGAAGGCTAATATCTGACGATTGTGGGATGGCTGGGTCATTACATTCTACTTTTTCTTCAGTTTTTACCAATGAAGATTTAAACAATATTTCTTATCTTGAACAATTATTAGAAGAAAACAAGACATTAATTCTGAGCTTGTTAAGATAAAATTAGGAAGTTTGAATGATAAAGTTTCTGCACCAAATAATGTACAATTAAGAATTTTGAAGGAAGTTAAGAATTAGGTATGTGAGCCACTTGCTACTATATTTTAAAGTCCTTAAATAGTGGACAGATGCCAGAAGATTGGAAGTTGCCTAATGTTATTCCTCTTTTCAAGGGAGGTGATACAAGTTGTTCCAGTAATTATAGGTCTATTAGTCTTACATCAGTGATGTGAAAAGTTTTTGAAAGTCTAATGATAGATGCTTTGTAGTCATTTAGCAAAGTTTTTATTAATTGAATAAGAGACCAGTAGAAACTGTAAAAATACACAGCTTCAACTCCTTTCTGGATATAATTGGATAGGTTTCATTATAGAATATGTATACTGATGATTGAAGTCTATTCAAGAATATTTTGAAAACAATTTGTAACACATGCCGAACGTTCAAAAAGAAAAATGTCCTAGGGATTTCAAATAGATATTTTATACTGTAGATACTATTATTGAAAAATAATTTTAAAACAAACATATATATATAACAGTGATTGTAAAAAAACCAGTTTTATAATTTCCATGACTTTATAATTCGATGATTATCACAAAACATTGTATGGTGATATGAAAAAGTCTGTAAGTATAGGCTACCAACAGATTGATTAGTGACATTATACACGCAGTTTTTAACATTCGTTTTGTTGTACGTGAATTACTATCATTACAAAATAAGTAATAGTGGCTGGAAAAGTATGGTTTAAATCCAATGTTGCCACTGGTGTTTAGCATTAGATAAAATAATCTGGACATGGCTATCATGTTGTTGTGGCTGATGCTTAGCATTAGGTAAGATGATCTAGACATGACGACCATGTTATTGCAACTAGAGCTTATCATTAGACAAGATAGTCTGGAAATAACTATCATGTTGTTGCGATTGGTGTTTACCATTAGATAATATAGTCTGGACATGTCCACCATGTTCTTGCGACTGGTGGTTGTCATTAAATAAGATAGTTTGGACGTGAATACTGTGTTGTTGGGACTGGTGCTTATCAATTAAATAACATATGCACGCCGATCACCCATATTGCTTTTGGTAAATAATTATTGGTTTCGCTAATATACAATGTGTTTTCACTTAATTCTTATTGTTACAACAGAAATAATCTTAACCTTGGAAAGAACAAATAACTTGTAAGCGTCATCTTTTAATAAATGGAGAATCATTGTTGTTAGTCTGATATTTTGTTTGCTATTATCACGACTGATTAAATTGCCGTTCCGGACAGGTTTCGTTACACCAGTAAAGGAATACAAACCGTAAATGACGGCTTATAAATGCCGTGCTACAAGATATTGAACTTTACTATTAAAGTCTCTAACTTACGTGTTATCCTTGCATAATTAATGTAAAACATATTGATGAACTTAATTAAACACACGCTGTTTTCTAGAATACCAAGGTTATCATCCATGTATTTTCCAACAAGTTTGATGATGTGTGTATTTGAGATAAATGAGACTTCCACGAACTACAATATTTTTACTTTTAGGTTGTATGTAACTTCACGAATTATTATATTTTAGGTTGTCTTTAACTTCACGAACTACAATATTTTTACTTTTAGGTTGTATGTAACTTCACGAATTATAATATTTTAGGTTGTCTTTAACTTCACGAGCTACAACATTTTTACTTTTAAAAAATATTGTAGTTCGTGAAGTTACAGACAATCTAAAATATAATAATTCGTGAATTTACAGACAACCACTTTTAGGTTGTATGTAACTTCACGAATTATAATATTTTAGGTTGTCTTTAACTTCACGGACTACAATATTTTAAGTTGTCTTTAATTCCACGATTGTTCAACTTTCGATAACTCATAATTGTGTACAATCGCGTTTAATAAAAAATAAGCTCACACAATAATATCAACGAGTATAAATTAAATGCTTTATTATATAACCACTGACAGATTTATGTTACCGGGTGGGTTCAATGCTGTTCGACCACTTACGATAACTCTATAGCTACTGAAAGACACGTCAGCTTTACCTCATCTAACATCAGACTTTACTCCGGATTAAAACAAGGAACGAATGAGAGTACTGGACAGATATGTCTTGTATAGATTAACAAGTTACAATAACTACACCTATAAAAAGATTTTAAGTTATTCGCAACTTAATAAATAATACAGCTCTATTTACATGAGATGAAACATTATCAATAGTAAGAAACATAAGAGTTGTGTAAAAGTAATACAGCTATACCTTTAACGGAATGGAACTTCGAGAATTAGGTAAAACTTTACTAGTATATCGGAGTATTGAAGTTGTTGTGTTTACTGAAACAATCATCTTAATATTCTTAGTAAAGTTTGAGACACACATACTTGGAGGTGACACTTCCAAAGTTCCAGCCTGCCACTTACCAGTAATAACACAACATCATTTTATTGATAAGAAATCAAGTTGCAAAAAAAGGCGTCTCTTCAACAGGATGTGGTGGCCCTGAAAAGGGCCGATAATAAAATAAGATTTTAAGATTTTTTTTCGGTCTTTTTTGGTAGCAAAACCGCCTGGATGTTGGGTAAAACACCACCCTGAGCAATGGTCACTCCCTGCAGTAGTTTGTTCAGCTCTTCGTCGTTACGTATGGCCAGTTGGAGATGGCGGGGAATGATTCTAGTTTTCTTATTGTCACGAGCTGCATTACCAGCTAACTCGAGAACTTCAGCAGCCAAATACTCTAACACAGCCGCCATATAGACTGGGGCACCAGCACCTACGCGTTCGGCGTAGTTTCCTTTCCTCAACAAACGGTGTATACGACCAACAGGAAACTGAAGTCCTGCCCTGCTCGAGCGAGACTTAGCTTTAGCTTTTACCTTTCCTCCTTTCCCTCTTCCCGACATAATAAAATGTTTCTTGGATGTTTTCAAATGGATTAATGTTGCTTACGTCATCGTGTTCATGTTTATATCAGTTCTGTTGGGATTCATAATAATCTTTGAGTCACAATTTGATTGGTTGATATTGTATGAATAACCACCAGTGAGAAGTGAGGTTACAAAAGCAGCAGTTTGTGATTGACCAATGAACTATCTTTCCTCTGTTCATATGAGATTGGCCATTTTAAAAAATAAATTATATATCTTCCTTCATTCCAAATAGTGATTGGACAACTTCTGAGAGCTCTCTTTGTGGTCCGCTTTAAGTTAGTTTTCAATCCTCAGTTAGATAATAAATACAAGTCACAACTTTGGCGCTTGTTTTGCATGTGATTATTGTCGCTAGAGTGAATAGTATTGATCGTTCTTTTGAAGAATAATGCCGCCTCAACCTAGTGGAAAAGCCGTGAAGAAAGCAGGAAAAGCACAGAAAGCAGTTCGTGCTGGGGAGAAAAAGAAGAGAAAAAAGCGAAGGAAAGAGAGTTACAGTATATATATCTATAAGGTACTGAAACAGGTTCACCCAGACACTGGTATTTCCAGCAAAGCAATGTCCATTATGAACAGCTTTGTGAACGACATTTTCGAACGGATAGCAGCCGAAGCTTCTCGTTTGGCTCATTATAACAAGCGCTCCACTATCACCAGCCGGGAGATTCAGACCGCTGTTCGACTGCTTTTACCGGGAGAACTTGCTAAACACGCCGTGTCTGAAGGCACTAAGGCTGTTACAAAGTACACCAGCTCCAAGTAGAATGATCCGGCTTTTTTATTTTAACATAGGCCCTTTTCAGGGCCACCACATCCTGATAAAGAGACGCCAGTTGTTGTTTCGCAGTCTTAATATATATATAATTAAGCTACGTTAATTAATACAGGTTTTTGTTCTTTTTTTGTTTATGCATTAACATTTTCTTGTTTTGTTTCACAAAGTAATTTAGTTTATTTATTGTAAGATTGTAAAACAAGGTAAGAAAAAGGAATTACACTAGACAGTATTAAGAAAAAATGCTGTATTACCACTGATATTTTGTCAAAATAGGCCTAAAATCAATTATATTGAATTATAGGAGGTTAAACCTTGTATATAATGTAAATAGTTTTATTAATCTTAAAACAACTTTCAAGACATAATTTTTGACGTTATTATTTCCGTAATAATTTGCCGATTTTACTAGTCTGATTAAACTTGGACTACAGTTTTATTTTTATAAAATATATTTAGAAAGCTGGGCTCATTAGTGATATATTTTTCCACTGTGGTACTCAAGTGAAGTATTATAAAAGTACAAGTTTTTTCCCGTATTATTGTATTTTAATGCTCTATCATTAATTATTATAATTATTAATAAATCTATAGAGAGTAGTATAAATTTTCACAAAACTCTCTTCAAAACGCAGTTTTTAGGTTTTAATTTCAAATTAATGTATTTTCTTTGAGTTTTAGATAAATATTTCAATTTAAAAAACAATTATAACTGTAAAATATGTTGTAATATTCTTGCTCTATTCTAAGTTATAATTCAAATTACGGTTTCCTAAAAGCTATTTTGTTAAACATTGATCTTCACTCTGTAATTTATATTTTATAACGTATTACAATAAAAATTTGATCTGCTTCAAATTGACTAATTTGGTATTCGAGACTGTGCCGCTATCTATTGAGCTATTTGAACATTTTGTTCCTGAAAAATTCTCCTGATTGGACAGTGGTAAGTCCTCGCGGTGTACATTTCAAATAGCCCAATGTGGCTTTGCTTCAAAAACAAACCAAATATTTCTAATGTAATTGTTGATTGTTTGTTTGTAGTTAAGCACAAAGCTGCACAATGGGCTATCTGTTCTCTCCCACCACGAGTATCAAAACCCGGATTCTTGCGTTGTAAGTCCGCAAACATTCCGCTGTGCCACTGGGGGGCATAATTGTTGATAAGCGGATGGCGTATATTTTGTAGTTTAACCAGTATTTACAAAATTTTCATGATAGGTAAACATATTTTTATAATAAACAAATTACAAGAGGTAATGTAAGCATATCATAATATCCGTAATGGAAAAAAATCAAGAATTAAAAAAAAAGTATATTGTCGTGATATTCACACATTATAAAATTATAATGAAAAGACATCCCAGTTTCCATAATTTAAGTATTATATAAAGTCAAATCATTCTTATAAATAATGTAAGTACAACTGGCCTTTAAAAATTTTTGGGAGCGCTTAGAGAATTAAAGCGCAATATATTTAATATCCGACGAGCGGTAATTCTGTAGCAATTTGATATTTCACCGCGCCCATCTCTGAAATAACTTGTACTCTATATATTGATATAAGCACGGTACCTTCCAAACGCATAGTGAACCGAAAGACAGTTTCTATTTTCAAAACTGAATTGATTGTTGTACCTGTTATTGCTTTGATATAATTTCTATAAATATATTTTCTTTGTTGCTTGCATAATTATCAGATTATCCCGTTTGTCTGTTTTGTATGTAAAGTCTTGTAATTTCAGTAAAGAGCAAAAAGAATTAGTACATTTTAAAATATCTACTATGAAAATTTCACAGAGCTAATTCTTTTTTTGTTATTTCATATTAATATCGGTTTTGCTTCTCAAATCGTGATTTAATTATGTACAGATATTCTCTGGGTAAGATTTTAGAATGCCACCATGCTTGTGCTGCCATCTATCAATGACTTTAACATACAAAAAATCACGATGACAGAATTAAAAGTATTTGTATTTATACTTTGTATTCATGGCAAAACTTCTAAGGCTATTTGGTACCGTGCCTTACTTTAAACTACAACCAGGGGACAAGCAGGTAGTCTCTAGCGCCCTATTACCCACCATCCACACTAAGGGATTGACTGCCACTCTTATAACGTACCCGTTATTTCGAATTCGAGAGTTCTAACATAAAATTAACTCGAGCTTCCAGGATCAAGAGAAACACAATTAAAAAAAAATACTTATTATTAAGAAGTTTCCAACATATGTTTGGACAAGACGAACATGTTTGAGGGTTTAAATTAATTAGTTGAGAGTACTCTTTTAAAAAAGCAGATTGTATAAAAGACAATGCTTTTGTTATTAAATCTCTAATAACCTCATTAAATGCTAATTGCATACCCCGCTTTGTAGAAAGTAATAATTGAGTCATTTAACTGATTAAGTTCTTGTACCTATAAATTAAAATCCAAAAGTCTATAATATTTTTTAAAAGTCAAAATGTGCTCTATTTCAGAGTAAAAATCCTAAAACAAGGTAACCCAAGTGCATCGTCGAACGGTTTCCAGTTAACCATACAAAAAAGTACTGTAATTGACTCACCCAACTCTGGGTAATGGAAGCCAAAAATGTACAAAAACTGGAAAGATGCTCTATTTCAGGGGCTTTTTTATCCCTCTTCTCAGGCAAAAATCCTGAAACAAAATAACTTTTTTTTCCATCTTCTGTAGCTCGGACTGTGGTCATCCAAACTATCTCATATTTTCTGTGGATGTACTCTACTGGACTCTTACTTCACATACCAAATTACAAGGCAATCCATTAAGAAATACCTAAGATATAACATCTATGATTTTGATTAAGTTTATTCCTTCCTCGCACCAAAAGTACGAAAACTTCATTTGATAGAAAAATATATTTAACTTTAATGGATTTTTTCTTCAAATTTCGTACACTGATCTTTACAACCTACAATTAGGAATCTCATTTGGTGTAATTATAAGATATGTACAAAGTTATTCAATAAAAACCGATCAAATTTAACGAAACGTTTTGCGCACGCCTACGCAAAAAGTCACGTGAGCTATCGGTTTAACATTTTTACTACAGCTTCACCTATAAGTAAAAGTGGACCGTTTTTAGTTTTTTGTCATTCGGTTAAAGACGGCTGATTTAGAGCAGCAAAACTATAAGGTGAAAGGACTTGGATATACATAAGTATTGGTTAGGCCAAGCAAACTAGATTATCAGTTTCTAGCTCTAGTTTTCAAAAGAATCATACGGGTGGACGGTTATTATTCATTATTTATTGCCAACTTTTTAGAAGAAATTTACTAAATTTTATGAAATTATCCTAATTAAAGAGCGTTTAGTGTCACGTGATATTAAGCTTAAGCAATTAGCATAAATGATGATGCTTGATACGGCTGTACCGATTGCATGGGGGTGATGACAAGAAACTGTTAATCTAAATTCCATGGCGTTAGCATAAAGGAAGCTATTAACACTATTTTAGAGAGAAAAAACTACCACCATATATTGGTTCTGTAAAGTAAAGGTCTGTTCCGAATAATAGGATTTCGATCCTAAAGTTATTGTGGGTTACTATCGAGTGTCACTTTCTGATTTGGTGCAGTTTGTTGGTGTGTATTGACAAAAAGTCATGATATCTAATCAAGAACACCTTAGGTGTGAAAAAAAAAAGTGCAGCCAAAAAAGGATTGAGTGTGAGACTTAAAGGAATGAACTCAAAACTGGCGGCCAGACTGGTAGCTACACTTATAGCATTGATAAGAATTTTACAGCAAATATTCATTCATTAGTTAGCCAGGCCGCGTATTTTGTTTTACCCACCATCATGCCCAAAGTTGAACAAAAAACACGGCCTGGCTAACTAATGAATGAATATTTGCTGTAAAATTCTTATCAATG